CAGGCGGCAATGGTCAGAGATTCAGCAGGAGTGGGATTAAGAAAAAAGCCGAATCCCGGACATTTTGGGCAATTCAAAAATCCCAGCCGGACGCATTTTTGTAGGTCCAAAAAGAGGACATGTCCGGGGAAAAGAGGACGTATGGTCACCCTAGTTTATAATCTATTGCTAACCAATGTATTCTTTTTAAAGTAGCATATGGAACTTATTTTCTGCCTCACTCTGTGACAAGAAGCCTCATCAGATCACAAAATCAAGCATTTGACTGGTGTTGTAGAGTAAAAAGGTTATAATGTTCTCTTTTGTTGGACAACAGGTTTAGAAATGTGAGTTCGGATTCGGTTCTAGTACATACCGGTTACATAGGTACCGGTGCCATATTGGTACCGGGTTTCGGTACCTAACCCTACTCATCGCTCCGGGACACGGCATCACAGTATGGTAAGGGCCTAACATTTCCGTCACACGCTTGAGGTATTCGGCCAATCACAACGCACTGAATAGCTGGCCAATCAGAGCACACCTCGCTTTTCAGACCGATGAGCGTTGTAAAAATCGACGCGTTTCAGAAAGGCGGGGCATAGAGGAGAAACAATAATGTACAGTATGTGGAAAATAATGTGTTTTTTTAACCTTAAGCTGCATAAATACATTTCATTACACCAAATACACAAAATAATGTTATTTTTAGCAACATCATATGACCCCTTTAAAGGAAATAATAATGAGCTTAACTTGATCACAATTTTTTTGTGGATTTCATTAGATGAGCAGTAGCTATCAAGCAAGACACTGACATTTTACTTTATCATATTGCTATAAAAAGCAGTGGGAGGTTATATAGCCTACTCAAATTAAGCACCATTATTATTCAAGCAACATTATACGAGTCGAATAAGGCAATTATCTTGACCTGGGGAGAATCACTGGAGACATGGTCAGGTTTAAGAATATGTAATAATATTTAATTTTAAAGAAATCTCTTATGCTCACAAACGCTGCATTTATTGGATCTAAAATACAGTAAAACAGTAATATTATTACGGTTTAAATTAACCGTTTTCTGTAATGTATTTTTGCTAAATAAAAGTATCAATTCCTTTCCAAAAAATTATAAAGAAGCAGGTTTAAAACAATTGTCCGTATACAAATGAAACCTTTGTGAACAATAACCTTCATTGCAAGTAAAAATATACGTTGAAACATTGCAATAAACTCCTCATCCCAACCATGTCTCAGGGAGGCCTTCTAAAAAGGTTCATAGCCTCTCCCGGGAACTTATTAGTGTTTAGACTTGCCGTTTAAATGACCTGGAACGTGTGACACATCTTCCCTGATTAACTGCATTATTTATATGTCTTTATGGCCAAATCCTTTGTGCAACATAAAAGCAATGGGCTTCCATCTTGTTATTTTAATTTATGGCCTTCATCAAGAGACGCTACTTATAAAAAATAAACTGCTCTAAAGCACATTTGGTTTTGCTTACACAAATCATTCATCATCATCTTTCAAAACACTAAACTTCCTCAGTGAATAAATTATCTGCACCAACACTTTTGTTTTACAGCGATGCCTTGCTATTCATCAGACACATCTCAGCCTTTTTATCTCTCTCTTTTACACACACACACACACACACACACACTTTTCAAGTTACAAAAGACAAAACATCAGCCTTGGTCCCAATTAGACATTTCAGGATAAACACCCAGTAGTTTAGGTCAGGTGACGCCCCATGGGAACACTTGTTTGTCTCGCTCTCCAAATCCCAAAAGAGCTTCTTAACAGCATCACCAATTAGTCAACATGTACTGTTGAGTGTGAATGGATACAAGGACACCTGCAGACAACCTCAAATAAAAAGAGGAAATTGTTCTTTCCTTACGTTTAATGAAACATAGGGATGGGCGATATCTTATCGTTTGCGATATACCGGTAAAAATTCTCCCCACGATAAGGATTAGTCAATAATAACGATAAAGTCTAGTTGTTGACATATTTCTGTGTGCGACAGTGCAGAGTGACATCGCGGAAGGCGCACGTGAAATTGAGGAGGAGTAGCCTATATCGCTAAATGAGGAGCTCGAGCTCCTTTTACAATCTGTAACTGGTTTGGTTAGGGCTGTACAGTGCACAAAAAAATCGGTCTGAATAAATGTACTACAGTAGCATGTGTGCGATACAGTTTTGCATGCGTATGAGCCTGTTTACAAACCTGTTGTCCAACAAAGATATCATTTATTGACATGCCTTTTCTCCAAATTAACGTAATAACAGTCGAGTGTTTAAAATACTTCTTTTTGTGACCAGACGTGGTTTCATATTACAGAATGATAGTATTATATACACAGTGATAACCTCTTAAGACCCGAGAAAAGATTTTTAGGAAAAAAACATCGTTTTCTTCATGTCTTTACATTGTTTAGAGCATAAAAAAAAAAAGTAAATAAATACAAAAAATTATATTTCATTCATAAATTATGCTATGTCCTCGGTAGGGATGGGTACCGAAACCCGGTATTTAATCGGTCCCGGGGCTAAATTATGAAAGACCGGAGTATCGATAAGCTCTGACGTTAACGGTTCTGCTATCGGTACTGGAGAAATTAATAAAACACACATACATTTATTATTGCTATATATACATTATCTTGCAAATTCTATCTCACCAGAGTCGCCAGCTGTTTTTCGAACATTTGTCTACGATGCATTTTTGCTATTCGCAATTCAGAAGCGAGATCGCGCTCACGCAGAGGAGCTTCAGCACGCGAAACATGAAAGCCCTGTTTAATTATGATAGAAGAGAGAACTAAACATTCAAACATCTGCTTACACTTTAGGCCTGTGGCGGTTTTATTAAGCTAAT